CCCCAACCCCAGTGGACCCTCGCTCCCTGCGGCTGGGGTGGCTGCCAGCTAGAGAGTGACTTAGGTCTGGGGCATCAGTCTCCTTCGGTCTTTTTCATGAAACTCTTTGAGAACTCTTGCCCTTCCGCCCAGGCCCACGGGAGAGAAGAAAAGGGCTTTTGTCTTTGCCTACATTTGGGCAAGAAATGATAAAAGGGGGGGGGGGTGCTTTCTGGGCATGGGGAGTGGGCCTGTTTGAGGGCTACCCCCAGCTCCTCCCCACCAGACTTAGGGGTTCCCTTTGTGCCCCTGCAAGTCAGCCCTTCACGTCCAGCCTCCTCCCTGGGTAGGGGAGGCTACTGTTCACACCTGGGCCTGGCTGCCCCTCCTGGGCCCCTCCCCAAAGCATCTCTGAGCCAGGTGCAGGGCCCCAGGTTGGCTCTGCCTCTTTCCAACCCCTCTCCCCCGACAGACCCTCTGCAGGGAGAGGACGGGAGGGGTAGGCGCACAGCAGTATCCTTACTGTGCCCACAGGCTCCACCCAGCTGCCCCCATGCAGGGACCTGCTCCCCAGCTGTGCCTGCATCTTGAGCAGCTCTGACTGTCCCCAGGGCCAGGATGAGCTGGCCTGTGGCATAGAACTTGCTTTCCCTGATGGAGGCCAAGGCTGGTGGGGTGGGGGCAGGAGGTGGCTCTCTCTCCCTACCTGACTGTGTTTTATCTCCTCTTCCCTTCAGAGGGGCTGCCCGTCCCGGGAGGCCCCAACAGGACAGGAGTTCCCTGCCCGGAATACTCCTGCCCGGACGGCCTCTGCATCAGTTTCCAGCTGGTGAGGGGTGGGGAGCGGTGGTGCAGGGGGCAGAGCCATTGTGCCACCCAACGAGAAAGGGGCCCTGACCCGTTCCTTCCCCAGGTGTGCGATGGGAAGCCTGATTGTGAAATGACAGGAGAGGCAGAGCTCTCCCCAGAAGAGCAGGGTTGTGGGGCCTGGGAACCCTGGAGCCCGTGGGGGTCCTGCAGCCACACGTGTGGGCCTGGGGTGCAGGGCCGGAGCCGCCACTGTTCCCCGCCCAGGCTCCCGGTGCTACAGCTCTGCCCCGGCCCCGAGCACCAGACTCAGGCCTGCTTCACGGCTGCCTGCCCAGGTGAAGAGCTGGGCACCTGGGAGGGCAGTGGAGTTGGTGGGGCCCAGAGGGACTGGGTGAGGAAGGCCACTGAGCTCCTACCCAGACCTCATGGTGCCCTGCCTGTGGGTCCCTCCTCACAGTGGACGGTGAGTGGACCTCTTGGTCTCCCTGGTCCCTGTGCTCTGAGCCATGCAGGGGCACCATGACCCGGCAGCGACAGTGCCACCCACCCCAGAATGGGGGCCAGGCCTGCGTCATGCTGCCTGGGGGCCCTCACAGCACGGGCCAGTGGAACCAGACCTGTGAGTGGAAGGGCGGAGGGAATGGTGCGGGGAGCGTGGAGGGGCTGCCAGCACTCACCCTCCCTGACCTCTGGTTCTTGTTTTTCTCAGGGCCCTGCCTTCAGGATGGCTGCCCCAATGCCACCTGCTCTGGGGAGCTAGTATTCTGGCCCTGTGCCCCCTGCCCTCTGACCTGTGATGGCATTTCTGATCAGACGGTGTGCCCTGCTGACCGGTCCTGCAGCGGCCCAGGTGAGGGGCCTCCAGGCTCTGGGCGTGGTGGGTATGCCCAGAGCTGAGCTCTCTGCAGGGGTGCCTCACGCCGGGCCTTTTGTAGGCTGCTGGTGCCCCAAAGGACAAGTGCTGGGCAGTGAGGGGCAGTGTGTGTGGCCCTGGCAGTGCCCCTGCCTGATGGATGGTGCCCGCTACTGGCCTGGGCAGCACATCAAGGCTGACTGCCAGCTCTGCATCTGCCAAGACGGGCAGCCCCGGAGCTGCCGGCCCAACCCCGACTGTGCCCGTGAGGTCTCACCCTTGGCCCCCCTGCCTGTGGGTCCCTCCTCACAGTGGACGGTGAGTGGACCTCTTGGTCTCCCTGGTCCCTGTGCTCTGAGCCATGCAGGGGCACCATGACCCGGCAGCGACAGTGCCACCCACCCCAGAATGGGGGCCAGGCCTGCGTCATGCTGCCTGGGGGCCCTCACAGCACGGGCCAGTGGAACCAGACCTGTGAGTGGAAGGGCGGAGGGAATGGTGCGGGGAGCGTGGAGGGGCTGCCAGCACTCACCCTCCCTGACCTCTGGTTCTTGTTTTTCTCAGGGCCCTGCCCTCAGGATGGCTGCCCCAATGCCACCTGCTCTGGGGAGCTAGTATTCTGGCCCTGTGCCCCCTGCCCTCTGACCTGTGATGGCATTTCTGATCAGACGGTGTGCCCTGCTGACCGGTCCTGCAGCGGCCCAGGTGAGGGGCCTCCAGGCTCTGGGCGTGGTGGGTATGCCCAGAGCTGAGCTCTCTGCAGGGGTGCCTCACGCCGGGCCTTTTGTAGGCTGCTGGTGCCCCAAAGGACAAGTGCTGGGCAGTGAGGGGCAGTGTGTGGCCCTGGCAGTGCCCCTGCCTGGTGGATAGTGCCGCTACTGGCTTGGGCAGCACATCAAGGCTGACTGCCAGCTCTGCATCTGCCAAGACGGGCAGCCCCGGAGCTGCCGGCCCAACCCCGACTGTGCCCGTGAGGTCTCACCCTTGGCCCTGACCGAGGGGTCCCACCCAGCCAGGCACCCACCCCTGCTCCGGCCCCTGACTCTTGGTCCTTTCTCAGTGAACTGTGGCTGGTCGCCCTGGTCCCCCTGGGCTGAATGCCTGGGGCCCTGTGGGGGCCACAGCATTCAGTGGTCCTTCCGGAGCCCCAGCAGCCCCCACCTCTCCGGCCCTGTGTGCCCAGGCCTGTGTGCCCAGGTATGTCCTGCCCCGGGGTGCCTGGGTGTCCAGGGTGGGTGAGGAGTGCAGGAGAAGAATGACCCTGTGGGCAGGGTGTAAGCACCTGGAGTGGGAGGGGGCAAACCTGGGAGGGGACAGTCCCAAAGCTCCACCCCCACCCCAGCCTCCTCCCAGGAAGCCCCGCGTGAGATGAACAGGGTGGGCCTGGCCTGAAACAGAGTTTGGGGCAGCCTTGGAGATGTGGGTGTTTGTGGGGCTGGAGCTTTGGTTAAGACCCTGCATACCACACGGCTCCAGCCCCTCCCGTGCTTCATCCCCTGCACGTCTCTGTCCTGTCCTGATGTGGACTTGCCTCCTCCTGACAGTGCCAAGCACCTGGGGTCTGTGGGCTCTCTGGTACACCTGCTCAGCCCCCTGCGATGGAGGCATCCAGACACGTGGGCGCAGCTGGGCAGCTGGCTCGGCTGCTGGGGACGCCAGGGACCCCACAGCCAGACCAGGGACTGCAACATAAAGCCGTGCACGGGTGCCAGGTCCCCTCCCAGTTGTTCTCCCGCAAGTCCCTGGGGATTTGACCTTTCCTTAGCCCCGCCTTCGCACCCCTCTCTTGAGCTAAGAGAGACATTGCTGGATTTCCTGTGTCTCCTCCAGCTCCTACCCACTGGAGACCAGGTACCAGCTGTGGCCCGAGGGAGGGGGCCTCCTCTGGCTTCTCCATCCTGTCAACAGACTCCCCAGCCCTTGCCTTCACTCCTGCTGAGACCAGCTCTGTCTTCCCATCCAGTCCAGTGCCCAGGGGACATGGTGTTCCACTCAGCTGAGCAGTATCGCCAAGAGGGGGGGTCTCTGCTCTCGGCTGTGCCTGGCGCAGGGCCCAGGGGTGGAATGTACCAGCTTCTGTGCCCCTGGCTGCACCTGCCCCCCTGGCCTCTTCCTGCACAACGCCAGCTGCCTACCCCGCACTCGGTGCCTCTGCCAGATGCACAGGTGTGTCTATGAACCGGGAGCAGTGGCTCACCTC